GGAAAAAGGGAAGGAGGGAGGGAGGGGGAAAGGGAAGGAGGGAGGAAGAGAAGGATGGAACCAATCGCTGAGTCACTTTCTGGCTGCGCGCTCAGTGCCAGGTCCACTGCCCTTGGGACACAGGGACAGGCAGTGCGGGCAGATGCTGCCAGGGCCTCCAGTGCTGCGTGTGGACCCAGCTCCCAGCATTTCAAGGAAAAACAGGTGGAGGAGGCATGCTCTCCAGGGACCGGCCGCCAGGGCTGGGTAGGGTCCCCAAGGGGTCACCACCTCTCGTCCTGTCCCATGCCAGATTTGTTTCTGAGCTGTCCTGGGAGAGAGTCCCACCCGAGTCACATGGCCACTCCTCCACCAGCCACCAGGCCACAGGGACAGGACTGGGATGGGCCAGCCCCCAGGCCCTGGAGATGAGTAAGAACTGCTGCGGGGCGAGCTCCTGGGGCCTGTGCTGGGCATCAGAACGTGGGAACCTGGACTGGGGGAGGGTGGCAGGAGGGGCGTGGGTGGCAAAGAAGGAGCTGCAGCTCCTGAGTGTGGCCCACTGGCCCCCGCTCCCCGAGTCCTGCACACACACCTCTCGGAGGAGGCGGAGGAGCCGGGAGGCCGGAGCAGCTGTCCTCGGGGCTCTGCTGAAGGAGCTGTGACAAAACACCACGGGGTGAGGGCGGGGTGAGGGCGCGCCTGCCCTGGGCTCTGCCCTGGCACGTCCTCGACTCGCCGCGCAGCAGGCCACCACTTACTTGAAACTGGACTTCTTAGCACGCTGAAGGCTGTGTGTTGGGACGGTCTCATACTAAACAGAGGGGGAGAGGGAATTATAAACCATAAGAACTTATTTCCAACCACAGGGCAGGGCTGAGCCCCCCTTGGTCCCTCACCAGCCCCTCGCCGGCCTAGCGCTCACTTTTACTGCAGAGGCCCTGAGGCTGGCACACAGCAGCAGGGCTGGGCCCATCAGCGCCTCTGCAGCACTTCCCGCTTCCCAACGACCCTAAAACTGGGCACGTGGGAGGCTGTCTCTCCAGACTACGTGGGACAGAAAGCAGGGCAGGCACCCCTGCCCCCAGGATGCCTGCGAGGGAGTGTGGACATGGGTGAGGGAGCCGGCAGGCGGGGTGTGTGGGCCCACCCTGTGGGAAAACCAGGCCACACTGGCGTGCACCGACCGACCGCATCACCTGGAGGACCTGCACGAGCATCAGCCGAGGAGGAGGCAGGCCTGGCCTCTCGAGGGTTTCAGGGCAGGAAATAGACTGCCCGGCAGGCACAGAAATAAGCAAGGCCTGGTCACGGTGACAGAATGTTCTAGACCAGCGGTTCTCAACCTGTGGGTTGTGACCCCTTTGGGGGTCGAACGACCCTTTCACAGGGGTCACCTAAGACCATCGGAAAACACATATATAATTACATATTGTTTTTGTGATTAATCACTATGCTTTAATGATGTTCAATTTGTAACAATGAAAAATACATCCTGCATATCAGATATTTACGTTACGATTCATAACAGTAGCAACATTACAGTTATGAAGTAGCAACGAAAATAACTTTATGGTTGGGGGTCACCACAACATGAGGAACTGTGTTAAAGGGTCGTGGCATTAGGAAGGTTGAGAACCATTGCTCTAGACAGCTGAAGAGAGCAGTGAAATAAGCTCGAGGGAGAGGTGGGAGCAGGACTGGAGCCTGAAGGACACTCGTAGGCGGCAGGGGGCCTCGCTAGGAGGGCCAGCCTGCGGGGGACTCAGCGGGCCATAGCTGGAACTTTCCAGAATGACGAGATGATTGAACAGAGAGAAAGCAGGTTATACAAAGGGCGACGAATAGAAGGGCCCTCTGCACCCAGGTCTCACTCGGAACCGCGCCCCAGGAGGCCTGTCAGGCTCAGGCCACAGAGCCTCCCGTGCTGCTGCCCACAGGCCTCTGGCAGCATCTCTGCTCCCAGCATGGGCTGGGGTGCACCTCGCAAAGCAGCCTGTGATGGCAGCAGGTGGGCCAAGGCCGAGCGGGACCCGCGTGCCAAGCTCCTGCTGCAGCCCAGCCACAGTGCACCGGGCACCTGCACACACAGCCGGCCGGACAGCAGCCCCTCAGGACCCCGGCGCCATGGCCTTCACATGAACGTGTCTCACCACACTGGGCTTCTGAGTGTTCAGCCGCGTCCCACGGCACCGCCTCCCCTGACCGTGTGGACCGTGCAGGGACGGCAGCCTGTGCTCATCTCCCATGACCGCCATTCCTGGGAAAAGGCCCAGGCGGCGGCCGCCCCAGAGGTGGAGGGGATGTCCCTCTCCAGCTGGGTCGCTGGCTCTGCTCCCCAGCCCCTCCCGTGGCCTGGGAGTCACAGGACAGGACGCCCCCCTGGGAAACCACTCCTCTTTGCTGTATCTTCTCTCTTCTCCTTCCCCAGGCGGCCCAGCGCACCTCTGCCCTGACAGCAGAGGTGAAATAGGAAATAGGGCCTCTTGTTAGGGCCACGGCCTGGGAGGCAGCGAGCGGACGCCTGGCTGGGCTCAGGGGTGCGGGGTGCAGTGGAGGGGGGGGGCGTGGTGCAGACCTACCTTTGCAGCTGCTCCACCCGCAGCATCGCCTTCCTGAGGGACTCCTCCAGCCTGGCGATCTGCACACAACACAGCCACTCGGTTACCAGGCTGATGCCAAGTGACAGTGCACAGACACGTGAACCCTCCATTTTTACACCGGGGCAGCACATGAGTCAGGAGGGAGCTGCCTGGGGCAGCGTGCAGGGGCAGACGGGGCTGTGGCCAGGTGCGGACACTACCCACAGGGGCCAGGGATGGGTGGCAACACGTCCCCTCTGGGCAGACCCACCGCAGGCCTGGCCTGGGGCAAGGAAGGAGGGCAGACGGCAGGAGACACCAAGCACACGCGGGCCAGGCCTCAGGGCAGCGACGCCTCACACCTTCCCTGTCGCACACAGAGAGGTCACGGCCACAGGACGGACACCAGGCAGCTTCCACACTCCAGGGGGTGGCCACAGGGTCTGTGGCTTCAAAGCCAGGCCCTCACCCTACTTACTCCCTAACCTTCAATGGTGTTTTTTAAAAAACACAACGGGATGAGTGAATAGAGAACTGTCTAAGCTGCTCTGAGGCCCAAACATCACTCCCGGCTAGGTGAGGCAGCCAGGTGAGGCGGCAGCCGTGGGCAGTGTGCCGGGCGTGGCCCCAGCATAGGACGCTGACCTGGCCCCTTTGCCCTCTGCCAGCTGCTGCACGCTCTCCTCTCTGCGCCTCCCGTCCCTGTCCCTCCAGGAGGCCTGACCCGAGCCGGTCCAAGCTGCACTGAATGGAGCTTCCTTCCCTGGAGCTTCCCTTGCTCACTCAGCTCACCAATCAGGGAGGAGGATGCTTGTCGCTCCCGTGGAAGGACCAGTCAGAGCTCATTAGAGTGGGTTTATGAAAAGTGCCGCCGAAACCGGTTTGGCTCAGTGGATAGAGCGTCGGCCTGTGGACTGAAAGGTCCCAGGTTCGATTCCGGTCAAGGGCATGTACCTGGGTTACGGGCACATCCCCAGTAGGAGATGTGCAAGAGGCAGCTGATTGATGTTTCTCTCTCATCAATGTTTCTAACTCTCTCTCTCCCTTCCTCTCTGTAAAAAATCAATAAAATATATTTAAAAAAAAAAAAAAAAGTGCCGGTAAATGGGGGCGCCACGGGCCAGAAGTGGGCCCCGAGATACAACTGGCCCAGTGACCTCTGGCCCTGAGCATTGCGGTGGCGGACGGGAACTGTGCAATGGGCTGAGGGTCCATGGGACGGATGCCCATCTCCCGGCCCTCCACCCTGAGATGTGTGGTCGGGTCACAGGGTCACATGAAGTTGAGATGGGGTTTACCTTTTCTCTGTAGAAGGCTAACAGCCTCTTTCTGTGTTTTTCTTGAAATTCTGAAATCTGGGGAGATGACACAGGTCAGCTGCTGCAGTGGCACATGGCCACACTGTGCATTCCCCAGACACACCCTGCTGCCTGCCTGACCCGGAGCTGCCTGCGTCTTCACGACCCTGGTCACCCTGCCGTGCATGCAGAATGCAGTGGGCACGCTCACACAGGGGAGCATGCCCCACTGAGGGCAGGAACACACAGGGCACCGTCTCTCTCTAGACCCCCCGCCCCCCACCCTTGTGTGTGGAGAGGGCTAGGTGGGCGGGACAAGCCGCGCTCCCGAGAGCTGTGACAGGGGCTGGGTTCCCAGGGGCACTTCCGTTCAGGAGCTCCCTTGCACGCGGTCTGGAGTTGGCCCCCAGAGCTACGAGCCGTGCTGACCCAGGGAGGGAAGCACTGCTTCACGTCAGGGACGGTATCGACAGAACGAGAAAGCCCCTCCGGCTCCGGCACCTCGAGGGTGGAGCGGGTTGATGGATGCAGGGCAGGTCCCAGGCTCACCTTAAAGTTACTAAGGTCCCCTAAAAGCTCTGCTTATGTGGGTTTTCCCTGTCGCTGTTTCCCCACTAGGAATTAATACTGAGAGAAACTTAAAGTATTCATTTTGGTAAAATAACGGTAAGCCCAACATGCTGAGGTAGACAGCGAGCTAGGCACTGGGACAGGCGATGCCCAGCTGCCTCCATGCCTCTCTCCACCTGGGCGGGGCGTGGGGCCTGAGATGGAGGAGAGGCACCCTGCCTCCTCCTGAGGCTGCCCCAGGCTCTGCGGGTCCCAGCACGACTGCTCTCGGCTCAGGGCCGCCTGTGGGTCCGAGCGCTATGGCGAGGACTCCCCCAGCTCACCAACACGGCAGCTTCCGGGTCCCAAGAGGCCTCCTGGGAATGTGCAACGAAATCAGCCCATGTCCCTGCTTGGTTGTTGCCTTGTGCCCATGCCGTGTCCTGGGGCATCCAGGCCCCTGGGGAGCCTGCAGGGTGGAGGGGCACAGCCCTGACACCGTGGGCACTGAGCCCGAGAGCAGCCTCCAGAGCAGGGCCGTCCTGGTGGCTGACATGTCTCCAAGAGAACAAGCCAACGGCCGAGAATGGCCAGGACAGAGTGTGGTCCCTCAGCCTGCTTGCTAGGCCTCTCCAGGGAGGGGCAGGTGGGAGGTGCCAACAGCGGGGGTGGGGGCAGCACTGTTATCAGAAGGGGGGCCAGATGGGCTGGCAGAGAGGGCTGCTCTCCGGACAGCTCCCTGGGCAGCCTGGTGGACCAGGAGGTCAGACTGGCATGGGACCCAGGGAGGGCACCGACTCGCGACCTCAGAGCTGGGCTGGGGAGTGCGCCTGGAGCCACGAGGGCTCAGGGTCAAACACCGCAGCCACGCCCCCTGACCCAGACACCTGAGATCAGCTGGGCGTCCCGACCACAGGACACGTCACCCCCAGCAGCAGGG